AGAAAGACGTCAGTGTTAAGTGTTTTCGGGGGAATGTTCTTTTGGTCAGTGGAGGGAAATAAGCGTCTGGCTTTAAAGACATGGCACTGATGATGATGAATTCAATAAACTGACATAAAATACACCACCAATAATAATCACAACCAATAACGGTATTATCTATCTTATAATACTAACTATAGTAATACAATCATAATGTAGTCAGTTCCATTTGTTACAATGGTTATTCTTGTGTTTGGTATAAAAGCCTGTCTGTTTGCTTCTAAATAACCCCCTGAGTGCAAGGAATGGCCATTCACTGGCAGCGCGGAACTCAAAGCAGGTGATTAAGATTGCTAGACGAGAACGCTACCACTGCGCCACACGGCACGCAATAATCTAAGGGAAGTGTAAATATAAGGAAAGGGAAGACGACTAAAACAATATGAAGACATGAGGTGGAAAATTAGTAATAAGTTCCACTAAATATGGTAAGTAATTATATCATGTATACTTATAACAATTCTGGAAATGAAAATGAAAATGATAAAGATTATAAAATAACAATAACCATTACGATGATGATGATTATGATGATGATAATAAAAACGACATTATAGTACAAAGCAACAATAGCAGCAGTGATGTTATAACACACTAACGACATTACTGCCAATGAAGATGCAACCCCAGAACCGGCACCAAGCGAGAGGATGATTTGGGGCAGTTCCGCCGCGAGCACCGCGCATCCCCGCCCGCTCGACTGGGCGCCTGACTGACTGACTGACAAACTAACTACCTGCGTGGTCGCGCCGACGGCCTGCCCGGGAGGTCGTAATCCACCAGGATCTCGTCAAGGTCAACGAAATCGTCCTCACTGGATTCCTCCGCCTGTAGTGTGCGCATCCTGTGTTCTCCCTCCAGCGCCCTCATCACCTCCTCCAGGCTTTCCTCCTCGGAGGGACTGGCGTCCAGGGTCTTTGTCAAGGCCGGCCGTTCGGGGATCGGATTCCCGGAGACCGCAGGGCCGGGTTTCCGATGCCAGTGGTGGCCATTTTCACAGCCGGTTGTCTTCGGCCGGCGGTCAGCTCTCGTCGTCTGCAGCGCCCCTTTGTTGGAAGCGTCGGCGCTCTTCGCTCGCGAGGTCTGGGCCTTGGCGTACACGTGGGCCGAGGACGCCGTTGCCGCGCCCTTGTGAGACCTTTTCTTGGCCTCCTCGGCCGGCGGGGACAAGTTCCTCTTCTTGGGCAGCTGAGGAGCCAAGGCCGACCTCGCCATCAGCTCGTCGATGGCCACGGATATAGGTCTCCCAGGCTCATCGTACTCCAGGAGGTACTCCTTGATGTCCTTCCGGCCAGCATCGTCCTCCGTGTCCTGCTCCCTGTCCACGGGAATGTACAAGGCCGTCGGGCGGTTCTGCAGTCTATCGCGCTCGCGTCGCACCGACTGCAGCTGCTCGTACGTCTCGACAGCCTTGCGCACGGACGGCCTCCTCTCGAGGGCGGCGCTCGCTGGCTGCATTCCCTCCCTCGATCTCTCCGTTATCACTCTCTGACTCGCACTCGCTCGCCGCACACTGTTTCTGGCAAAAGGGTTTTCCTTGCTTGTTGCACTGGTGGACTTACTCACCTCTTCTCTGCTCGCCTTCATGCTACTTCTACACTGATCACAGTAACTATTCACGCCACACTTGCACTGCTGGAGGAGCTTCGTCTTTTGCTTCCCCGCGCCCTTGTCGCCGCCAGTCTGGATCCGCGCGTACTGCAACTCCGAGGAGCCAGATCCTGCCCTCGTCTGGCCGCGGGAACCTTGTCCTGCAGACTGGCTGTTCGCATCCCGAAGAACTCTGGCCGAATGGTTTCTCTGCAGCGCCTGGCGCGACTCAGCAGACTGTCTCCGCCATGACCTACTGACGGTGCCTTCGTCGATGCTTTGCGGTCTGGCCGGGTCGCCACTGCCCCTTCCAGGAGTCGACGGCGTCCCCTTGCTCCTCCAGGAAGGTTCAGGGATCTGTGATGGCCCTGAATTCGTCTTGGACCGAAAGCTACTGCGTTCAGAAGGCATCCGATGAGAATCCCTGACGCTGGAGCGCCTGAAGAAGTGGAAAGGCGTCGTCGGACTCTCCTTCGAGGCGGGCTGTTTCTTGCCGTTGATAATGCCGTAGGCGCTGGTCGCATCCTGCCACCGACTGCAGCTGCTCGTACGTCTCGACAGCCTTGCGCACGGACGGCCTCCTCTCGAGGGCGGCGCTCGCTGGCTGCATTCCCTCCCTCGATCTCTCCGTTATCAGTCTCTGACTCGCACTCGCTCGCCGCACACTGTTTCTGGCAAAAGGGTTTTCCTTGCTTGTTGCACTGGTGGAGTTACTCACCTCTTCTCTGCTCGCCTTCATGCTACTTCTACACTGATCACAGTAACTATTCACGCCACACTTGCACTGCTGGAGGAGCTTCGTCTTTTGCTTCCCCGCGCCCTTGTCGCCGCCAGTCTGGATCCGCGCGTACTGCAACTCCGAGGAGCCAGATCCTGCCCTCGTCTGGCCGCGGGAACCTTGTCCTGCAGACTGGCTGTTCGCATCCCGAAGAACTCTGGCCGAATGGTTTCTCTGCAGCGCCTGGCGCGACTCAGCAGACTGTCTCCGCCATGACCTACTGACGGTGCCTTCGTCGATGCTTTGCGGTCTGGCCGGGTCGCCACTGCCCCTTCCAGGAGTCGACGGCGTCCCCTTGCTCCTCCAGGAAGGTTCGGGGATCTGTGATGGCCCTGAATTCGTCTTGGACCGAAAACTACTGCGTTCAGAAGGCATCCGATGAGAATCCCTGACGCTGGAGCGCCTGAAGAAGTGGAAAGGCGTCGTCGGACTCTCCTTCGAGGCGGGCTGTTTCTTGCCGTTGATAATGCCGTAGGCGCTGGTCGCATCCTGTCGCTGGCTCCTCCTGTCGGTGGGATTGCTCGGGGTCACGGACTGGCCCTCGCGAACGTCGCTTCGCCCAGCGGCCAGCGGACGGCAGAACCCACTGCCTGCCTTCACGCTCTGACTGCGCTTGAGAATGGGGGTGCCTGCGGCGTCCGAAGAGCCGCCGCCGCCCCTTAGGAAGTTCCTGGTGCTCTGGCTGAAGCTCCTTAACCCGGAGTTCTTTTGGTTCGTCTTGGCGATGTCCTTCCCTGTGGGCGTGGGCGCCACGCTACTTCGCGAGATGAAGTCGGTCCTCCTGCCGCTGGTGGGCCGCGGGGGCTTGTCTGGCGTGAAAGACACGGAGTTGCAGCTGTTCTGACTGATGGTGCTTCTGTTGCTGCTGCTGACGCTGTGGCGAACGCCTGCGTCACGCTGGAAGAAATACGAGTTGCCGGAGAGTAGGTGGCTGTCCCTCGAGCCGGCGTGCATCGACACGGCGGCCGAGGGCGGCGACCTGGCGCCAGCGCCGCCATGGCCAGCCCTCCGCGCGGCCGAGGCGAGCGGTAGGACGGGGGTGCTGACGGAGCCGCCGCCACGGGGGTGCCTGGGGGCCTCTCCTACCCCACTTACCAAAGGACTCAGCAAGTGGCTGGTGGAGTGGACCAGGACTGGAGTGCTGATGGAGGCAGCCCCGGGCGGGAGGGCCGCCTCCTCCTGCTCCTCTTGTCGTCGTCGTCGTCGCGAGCCTTTCCCTCCTCCTACTCCCCCTCCCCCTCCGCCCCCCGCGTCGCCGCCCGATCCTCGACGGAGTTTCAGCAGCCACTCCGGCACCTTCATCTAGGAGCGGGTCGCGCCGAGCGTCCTCGAAGGGCGCCAGGGGCATGCTCCTTCCCGTCCCCCTCAAGACGCGGGCACGGGAGAGTGTCCTTCACGGGGCCAAATCCTCTTCGCGCAGTGCCCAGCTTCTGGCGTGCCCTCAAGCCACATCACGCGCGCCCTCGCTCCTGCTGTCGGGGTTCCGGGCATCGGGAGGCCCCGCCCACCGCGCATGATGGGCGCCAGTCCAATCGTCACGGAATCTGTCACCGCCGCAGGCCAGGCAGTGCTGTCTCAGTGCAGAAGGAGCTCCCTTGCGATCATTTCAGACTGGACAAACTCTACATAAGGCACTGATAAAGAAGCGCAACTGTCATCTATCGTCGCCAAGTTTCTTAATGTTTATTTTCTGTTTAACTGTGGTTTAATAACATTCTTTAATAAGAGCAAAAAAAAAAGGAATCTTACAAAACAAACTGCATGAAACAAAATTACTACCAGTAACAAAAGATGACGACAAATGAAGGGAAACGAAAAGAAAATGATAAATAAAGGAGACCATAAAAAAAACAGAAAAAAAAATAAGATGACACCCGCCCGCACGCCTACCTCCCGCCCACGCCTTCGCCTCCTCTGCTGATTCGGGCGCCCCTGAACGCCGCCCACAGCACACGTCCCCCGCAAACCCAAATAACCAAAAAGAAAGCCATAACAGTGGATAAAAGGCGTGAAAATAAACGTGGCGTCCTTTAGATACTTGAGCTCCTGACAGATTTAGAATAAGGACATTCTCACGGGTTCGTCTCCCTCCCTCCTCCCTCTCCTTTCTTCTCTTTCTTGTTCTCTCTTCTCTGTCTCTCTTTGTTGGACGAAGCAATTCTCATTTGGAGCCGCCCGCACGCCTACCTCCCGCCCACGCCTTCGCCTCCTCTGCTGATTCGGGCGCCCCTGAACGCCGCCCACAGCACACGTCCCCCGCAAACCCAAATAACCAAAGAGAAAGCCATAACAGTGGATAAAAGGCGTGAAAATAAACGTGGCGTCCTTTAGATACTTGAGCTCCTGACAGATTTAGAATAAGGACATTCTCACGGGTTCGTCTCCCTCCCTCCCTCCCTCTCCTTTCTTCTCTTTCTTGTTTCTTCTCTTCTCTCTGTCTCTCTTTTGTTGGACGAAGCAATTCTCATTTGCGAGGGAAACTAGGGATATAATTATATAGTCACATAATACCGATTATTATTAATAATATTTTAAAATAATAATAACATTGATAATAATAATGATAATAACAGTAATTA